GAACTGGATCCATGAGCTTAGACCTTTCGGTGGCTCCTGGGCAAGCCACTAGTTCTTACTTTGAGGAACCAGCCCTGACCTACCCCAGATAAGAGCTAAGCTCTCTCCTCAGCCCGAGGGGATTCAGAATGATTCTACTGGTTGGGTAGTGGTCTTGTTCTACCCTCTCCTCACCCCAAACCTGATTCTTAAACCCTGTCTGACAGGAGCAGGAGCACCTTCTCTTGAGAGCTGCTCTTTCTTGGCTCTTAGATCCTGACCTTTCCATGACCCCCTGGGTAAATAAGACATTTTCCTACCTATCTCCCAAAGATATTTTCCATGTCTGTAGAGGATTCAGCACTGGGATTGCAGTCACCTCTCTTGCACTTCTTGGGTGATTTGGTAATCTCAGCCAATAAAAGTCCCATCTCTACCCTTGACTAGTTTATCTCTGATTGGTTTAAGTTACTAATGTAAATTTACTACCCTCTTGTAAAATCATCTTCTTCACCTTTAATTTATTCAACTAATGTTCAGAAAAAGCCTAACGCATGCCAAGCACTTGGCCAGCATTGTGCTAACTAATGGAGACACAATGACATTGCGTCTCTCCTCAGGGAGCTTACTCTCCTAAATAACCAAAGGTGGCTGCCATTTATTGAAGAGCCACTATTCCTTATCTCATTTAGTCCTACCAATGTCTCGTGAGGTCAGGGTTCTTGCCTCACTTTACAAATAAGGATGCTGAATCTCAATGGTGCTTAAATGATTAGCCCAAAATCATGGAGATAACAATGGTAGAGCTGGAATTTGAGCATACATCTGTGTTCCAGCCATGCTTTCTTATTTACCCTGGCAGTTCTATATAGCATAATAGTTAAAAACTCAGACTCTAGAACAGACTTAACGTTTAGAATCCCAGCTCTGCCACTTAATTGCTATGCAATCTTGAACAAATGAACTAGGCTTTCTAAACTCTTATTTCTCACCTTTAAAAATAAGATATGGAAAATACTTATCTCATAGGTTGTGGTGAGAATCTCAGAACTTGGAACCTGAAATCTTCTTCCTATTGCATTTGAAAGAAAAGAAGTCTTCATCTCAGCTCCAGCATCTTTGTCTTATCCTTATGGGAAGAGGAAACTACCTATGGTGAGGACTTCTAATGACCCCTCCATGCCAAGGCAATAAGGAAAGCATCTACCTTGGAAAATTTGGGACACCATTGTTGGGTGCCAGTGTAGCCAAGACTTTCCACTGAAACATCAGACTAGTAAAAAAATCCCTCTCTGGCATCAAGAGTTTTCAGGGTGAGCAGCAGTGCAGCCTGGATTGTATCACCACGATCATCTTCCTACTGACCTCTTTACATTCAATCAAGAAATCTCTTCGGATGAATTTTTACTCTTACCCTCCATTCCCTGGTTGTTTGGGATCAGAGGCTGTGATATAAAAACAGGGGCTGTTGGGTATTATGCGGGATGAAGAGGAAGGGGTTGGCCCCGCAGGAGCATTCCTGTATCTTTGTTGGTGGAAAACGGAATCAGAAGGCACTTCGTCACTTCCGGACAGGATGGGTCCAATGTGAGAGACAATCAGCTTTGCCTAGTACTTTTTGGGTAGGGAGAAAATAGCAGTGGCCTGTACCACTGGAAAGTCTAATTGGCCTGAAGGCCTGAGGGCTTTTCTGGCCTGGCTGATGGTGGTTCCACCCAGCATTGGGTACTGAATACAAGCATACCCTGTGGGGAGCCAAACATACAATTCATTGCTTAACTTTTTACTAAGCACCAAGCATTGTATGCCCAGCTGGGGACCGGGGCTCCAGATATGAATGGCATAACCTCTCTCTTTAATTTGCTTCCAGTCTAATGACTTCGTAGAGCTGGCTTGAAACCTCGCAGAAAGCACCAGTGTCCTAAATGAACCTCCTTCATATGTAGACTCCTTTGGCAACCTGCGAGATGTCAGTATGTCCTACTTGGTTTCCCATATGGAAGCAAAGCTTTGAGGGCCTAGATTCAGAAAGCAGGCAAAAAGAGCAACAGAGGTCAAATGGAAGAACTTTTTAAAAGTGGAAGGTTCCCTGGAACTCAGACTCCTGACCTGATCCTAAGCTTCACTTTCTTACTCCCAAGCCTACCTAGAAATAGGACAGAGGACAAAGACCGGGTGAAAATCTCATTGCTTTAGAAATGGTTAATAAACCACATGGAAATACTGTCTTCGATAGAGCTTATTTGGAACCCAGTCAATATTTGTTCCCATGAATTTCATTGTTAGTAAATGCAGTATTATTCAGCCTGCTGGAATTTTAAAAAAATAAACATCTGTACTGAGTGGGTGGATTTGCCAGAATGATGTAGGCCCATCTTAGAAGTGTGTCTCAGACCTAGTTGCCAGAACTGGTGCTTTCTATTGAAAAGTGACTGTTTTCTGGACTCAAAATTGACGATAAAGTTATCTATGCATTGTTTACAGCCATCTTCAAGTTAAGGTCACTCGGCCTCACGCATGAGCTCAGAGTGTGCTGCAATTACATAAGCTTTATTTTGAGCAGGCATTATACTGAAGCCTCCTTTGTGTCCCCAACACTTAGGACCATTCCAGGTACAAGTATAGATCATCATATTTATTAAATTGAAATGAAATATGTGTGGGGTCAGGAAGAAAAGTCCTGTATCCCATCCCCTCTCACCTTTACACTCACCTGGTCTTTAGTCATCAGTCCTATTTCAAGGTAGGCTTGGGAATAAGAAAGGAAAGATTGGGATCTGGTCAGGAGGCTGAGTTCCAGGGGACCTTCCACTGTTAAAACTGACCTCAGTTTCAAGCAGACTGGCTCCATATTAGTTAGCCCAGGTCACCACACACACACACCCTCCTCTGACCTTTTGCTGTGGGAAAGTGCATGGGCTTTGGAGTCATGAGCTCTAGTTTCAAATTCTTGTTTCACCACTTTCTAGCTAGTCATTTTACATCTCTGAACCCCTATTTCCAATGCAAAGTACCTGCTGTGATCATTAAATGAGATAACGTAAGCAAACCACCTACTTTATAGTAAGTGGTCAGCAAAGGCCCATTCATTATGTTTAATCTCTTTAAAGTCCTAAGAAGATTGAGTCCCTGACAAGGAGTTTTCTAACAGCTCAAACCTTTTGGAGTAACCACAAGTGCTATCTGCCTGGCACCTCTAAATTCCTCAAGTTCTAATTTGAGGCTTTCCCAATTTTTTAAAAATAAGGACTATTTCAAATTTGACCCTGTGCACTGTTAATAGAAATGTAGAATGGTGCATCTACTGTGGAAAACAGTACAGTGGTTTAAAAAATTAAAAATAGAGTTGCCATATGATCCAGCAATTCCACTTCTGAGCATATATCTTAAATAATTAAAAGTAGAGTCTCTAAGAGATATTTGTACACCCATGTTCACTGCAGCATTAGTAACAATAGTGAAGAGGTGGAAGCAAACCAAATGTCCATCAACAGGTAAATGAATTTTTTAAATGTGGTATATTTATACAATAAGATAGTGTAAGAAGGAAATTCTGACATATGCTACAACATGGATGAAACTTGAGAGCATTAAGCTAAATGAAATAAAACAGACACAAAAATATAAATACTATATGATTGAACCTATATGAGTAATCTAGAGTAGTTAAATTAATAGAAACAGAAAGTAGAATGGTGATTGTCAGGGACTGGGAGTGGGAGGTAGGTGAGAAATGGGGAATTTTTGTTTAGTGCATATAGAGTTTCAGTTTTGAAAAATGAAAAAGTTCTGGAGACTAGTGACACAGCAATGCAAATATATTTAACACCTCTGAACTGTACACTCAAAATGGTTAAGAGGGTAAATTTTATGTTATATGTAATTTAACACAATTAAAAAATTTTTTGAAAGGAGTTGTTTCTTGGATGTGAGGTCATTAGTTGATGAGAGCATTTAAGACACGTGATCTAAATTCTAAGATTCCCAAATGTTATCTTCCAACCCCCAAACTCCAAATTCAGACTCATATACCTGTATGAGTATATCTCCACTGGAATGCCTAACAGGTAACTCAGCACATCTAAAGCATACTTTGGTTTTCCACCCAAGTCTGTTCCTCCCCATCTTTCCAATGTCAGGAAATAGAGCTACCACCCACCCAGAGGCTCAAACTGAAAATCTAGGACTCATTCTTGACTTCCCTGACTCCTCCTGTCAGGTTCATCTTCAGGACTTGTCAGTGCCTTGTCTAGAAATACATTAGCCTTCTTCCACTGCACTGGGCCAATCTGCCCTCACCTCTCAAGGAGGCTGCGCTGGCGCCTCCTGCTTCCACCTTGTCTCCCTTTCCCTATATGGCAGTCTTTCTCATGTGCCTTTAGAAACGTGAATCAGACCCCGTTGCTTCTCATGAGTGGTTTAAATGGCAACATGTCTTTTTTAAAATAAAACTAAACCCATTCCATGGCCTAAAAGCCCCTTCCTGGTCTAGCTCCTGCCTGCTCCTCTGGCCTCATCTTCCCCTTGCTCGGGGCGTCCACACCTGTAAAATGGGTACAGCAGCAACCAGCTCTCCCACATAGTGAACATCAGCTGTGCGCTAGGCCAGGCGCCTCACACACAGCATTTCATATTGTCCTGGTTCAGCCCAACAAGGTAAGTGCGAGGAGCCCCAAGATTAAATGAAAGTGTCTGGCGCTAGCACACAGCAAGCTGGAGCCAGGGAGGGTGAACACTAGCTCTGCGGGGGGAGGGAGACACGCAGGTTGCTGAAAGAGTTAATTAAGATGCCTCTTCCCAATTCCTGGCCCTCTCATCCCGGCATCTGCCCTTGTGGGTTTAATGAAAAATCCAGGCACTTCGCAAGAGCCTGTACAAATAACTTCTAGGGCGCCACTAACTCATTCAGCAGAAAGACCCAGGGCTGCCAATGCTTCAGGGAAGACAGTGAGTGGAAAGAGGTGGGTTTTTAGCGGCGGGCAGCAGAATTTGCGCGGTCGGATGTGAGCTCCGCCCCTGCAGCAGAGCTGAGAAAGCCAGGATCCCGGCTCCTCGGCCCCTCTCTTCACAATATTTGATTAGGAATTTGGGGGCGGGACCCTGGCCTGGCACAGGCCCGGACACTCTCAGTAGACACCTCACTCCTTCTTTCTCTCACAGACACTTCCTTCAACCCAAGGAGTCCACAGACAGAGGGACGCGGTGACTCTCTGAAAGGTTCAACTCCAGGTAAGTGTGGTCATTTTACTTGTTGCTGTGTCTTGTTTCATAAAGAAAAGAAAGGAAAGGAGCTGGGGAGCGGGAGGGGGCCGCAGGGAGGACTCGACCCTCCCTCTCCCTCTCTGGGCCATGACCCCAGGATGCCTGGGGGAGCCAAGGGGAAGTAGAAAGAAGGGGTTCCAACATACTGCTTTTGTCCTGCAGCTCCTTTCTGATCATTGGGGGGACCTCCGGTTCTCAGGCACGAAAAAGCAAAAGGAAGCCAGCTCTGCCCTGCTACTCACAAATGCCACCCCCTTGCCCTGTCCCCCCAGTCTCTCATAGAGAGCGGTTGTGGACCTAAACGCTACTGTGGGAGGAGGGCAGTTTTGTGTATTGTGTCTGAGTGTGTGTGTGTGTGTGTGTGTGTGTGTGTGTGTGTGTGTGTGTGTGTGTTGCTGAGGTGAAAGGGAGAGAGAGAAGTGTTGGGAGTTGACCATGTCTAGGGAACTGTAAAGTGGGGGTCCAGTCCAGGAAGGGGGTGGCTTCTGGCTTGAGCTCCTCCACTCTGATAGGAGGGAGGGATGGTTCTCTAGAGAGGAGAAATGAAAGAACAGCAGCAGCTCCTGAGTAGGCTTCCCCAGTTCACAGAGTGGTAGTCCTGGGAACTTTCCACCTCACAGAACTCTGAGCTCAGGAGGGTCTCCAGCATTAGGAGGTAATTTCAGAGTAGACAATGCTGGAGCAACATTGCTAAGAGATGGGGCTAGGACAAGAGGAGGCATAAGGTCCCCACCAACCCTGTCAGCAGTCAGGGCTCCTAAGGGGAGGCCAAAGTGGGCAGGATGCAAGCCCCTGGAAAGCTGAGTCTTGAAGAGGAAGATGGCTCTTGTCTGCCAAGGTACCCAGTCTGGAAGGAGAAATGGAGACAGAGGCTCACTGTGCCAGCCTCCAGACAGCCACCTTGGTCCTGCAGCAGCCCAGAGCTGTGCATGGAAAAATGCGCTGTTGGCAGTGGGCCGCTCCATCAGTCTTCACTCCTGGCCAGAGCCAGGGTCCAGCCAGCGTGCCCAGGCAATGGGCAATTGGGTTGGCTTCTCAGAAACACTGTGCGCTCTTTGTCTGAGGCTTCAGGCTGCTTGAGAGTGAGCCAGGGTGGGTGCCTTTCCTCTGCAGCCCAGAGGCTGATGGAATGAAGCTGGCCTAAGAGAACTGCTTTCAGGGAACAAAGAGGTCTGGGAGGGGTGATGACCACAAGGTGACTATATTGTCACAGTCAGGGTCCTCCCCATCAGTTCATTGAATTTGATGCTGGCTTTTAGACTTCTTTCTTTCTCCTGTCCACAGTTGCCAACCTCAGCAAGGCCCAAATGCAAGGTGAGAAACATATATGACTTTTCCAGGACCAAAAAAGTTTCTAAGGCTTCCCTATCCAAGGGTGACACTCGAACCTCTGGACAGTGCCCATTGCTCACAGGGGTATGCAGCACTTTGGCTGTAGGTATTCAGAGCAGAGTACTCAGGCCTGATATGTCACCCTCTGGCCCCTCATCTCCCATACCTTCACCTTCCCTCTCAGATGATACTAAGCCCACATTTCTCTCCAGACCTCCTGTTCTCATCTCACTAGCACATAAGCTCAAAGGCAACGGGCTGATGCCAGTGTGGGGGTCTTGATATGGAGCTTGTAATCCAGATGTCTCCACAGGGAGCTTGGGATGTGAGGGGGGCGCCAGAACTCCATTCTAAAGTCACGTTCCCTTGGGCCCATCTGAGAGTCTTCAATTCCTATTCCTTTTTGGTGTTCCTCAATTCATTTATCTTGGCCCCATGTGGCTCTTGCGTAATGTCCCTGGTGGAGCATGAAGAGAGCTGATACTTCTCTAGACAGCACAGAGGACAGCCAGTGGACTGACTCAGACTCTATGCACTCAGTGCCATTCCTGGGGCTAGTGTCCCCATTCTGGAGGGGATCTGTAACTGTCATATAAAAACCCACTGCCTGCCAAGTTGCATGTGTAGCCACAAACGGCTAACCCAAGAGTATTCTCACCCAGTAGACTATTCTAGATGCTGGCACTTTAGAGGGTAGTTCAAGCTTCATGGTGGCTGCAGAGGGATCACACCCCTCCCCAAAGACTCAAAATCAGAAACCCTCAGCCTGCCCAAGAGACCAAAACATCTTTCAGAAGTAGTTCAGATCTTCCCCTTTGAGGTCTCAAGCCACTCTGGAGGTTTCCCAAAGACGTGGAAAGAGCCACAGGGCTTTTTCCTTAGACTCTCAGAAAGTATTTTCCCTGGGGAGTCCAAGTTGGATGTGAATTCAGACTGAAGAGCTCCCACCCCACAAGGATTGCTATGGGCTCTCCAGCTGCCCCAACAGAACCTTCAGTTTGCAATGGATCTGTCCGTCCAAAAAAATGCAGCACCCCCTATTCAAGTTTCTTCTGATTTCAAAGACTCTGCTTCTGTGACTCTATGACCAGGGGAAATTTTACCTAGCTCCTCTCAGATAGCCAAGGTCCAGCTGGGATGAGGCATGGAGGAAGTGAGAGCAAGGCTCCTATTTTCAGGTGTTTGGCACTAAATTAGATCTGCCCAAAGCCTAAGGCTCACCCACTCTGCCTCCCTAGAGTCTCACTTATGCCTGCTTGCTCTGTTCTCTCTTCCTTTCTGCAGAGAGACAAAATGCAGTGGGCCTCTGTCTTGCTGCTGGCAGGGCTCTGCTCCCTCTCCTGGGCCCAGTATGATGAAGACCCCCACTGGTGGTTCCACTACCTCCGCAGCCAGCAATCCACCTACTACGATCCCTATGAACCTTACCCTTATGAGCCCTATGAGCCTTACCCCTATGGGGTGGAGGAAGGTCCAGCCTATGCCTATGGCTCTCCACCCCCATCAGATCCCCGAGATTGCCCCCAGGAGTGTGACTGCCCACCTAACTTTCCCACGGCCATGTACTGCGACAACCGCAACCTGAAATATCTGCCCTTCGTGCCCTCCCGCATGAAGTATGTCTACTTCCAGAACAACCAGATCTCTTCCATCCAGGAAGGAGTCTTCGACAATGCCACCGGGCTGCTCTGGATTGCTCTCCACGGCAACCAGATCAGCAGCGAGAAGGTGGGCAAGAAGGTGTTCTCTAAGCTGAGGCACCTGGAGAGGCTGTACCTGGACCATAACAACCTGACCCGGATGCCCGGCCCACTGCCTCGATCCCTGAGGGAACTCCATCTTGACCACAACCAGATCTCGCGGGTCCCCAACAATGCCCTGGAGGGGCTGGAGAACCTCACAGCTTTGTACCTTCAACACAACGAGATCCAGGAAGTGGGCAGTGCGTTGAGGGGCCTCAGGTCTTTGATCTTGCTGGACCTGAGTTACAACCACCTTCGGAGGGTGCCTGATGGACTGCCCTCAGCCCTTGAGCAGCTGTATCTGGAGCACAACAACGTCTACTCAGTCCCAGACAGCTACTTCCGGGGGTCACCCAAACTGTTGTATGTGCGGTTGTCCCACAACAGTCTCACCAACAATGGCCTGGCCTCCAACACCTTCAATTCCAGCAGCATCCTTGAGCTTGACCTCTCCTACAACCAGCTGCAGAAGATCCCCCCAGTCAACACCAATCTGGAGAACCTCTACCTCCAAGGCAATAGGATCAATGGTGAGACCTTGGCAAGGGGCATGGGGAGTGGCTGTCCATTTCATTGGAAAGACCCTATTCTGAGGGCTAGTGGCAACACAAAAGAAATAGTAGTAGGGTAGCTAGAGAGCACAAATAAAGCAACCTGAAAACCAAGCCTTGCACTTACGCTAAACAGCAGGGTCAATAAAATTCAGTGGGGAGTGGGCTGGTAAGAAGACCTCCCAGAAGTAAGTTTCAGTCTAGGTCTTGAGAGATAAGTAAGTGGGCATGGGCTAGAGGAGCTCAGGACAAAGCCATTCTGGGAAGACGAATTGCCACTAACAAATGAACCAGTCATGGAACAGGTCTCCTGTAGGGGACAGCCAGGAAATTCATGTCTGAAAGGAAGGGGTCATGTACTGAGGAGCAGTGAGATATGAGTCTGGAAAGGTTCGGGAGGGGGTTTAAGTAGAACTTCTAGGACCCCTTCTGGGAGGAAGGCGGGCTAAGAAACCGGGGCATCTGCACCTACTCGCTGGCCCAGAAGAGGATGAGCTCTGTTCCCACACGACCTATTCCTGCCTCTGCAGCTGGCCTTGTGCTGGGGGTTTGCTTGTTTTCAAACATAACAGCTCTTGGACAAGAATGTGCAGCCTCTCGGAGCTGAACTCAGTACTTGTTCTAGTCGGTTCTCCCCCGAGTTCAAGGAGTCCCTGAACAGGGCAGAGGTCCCCCTTGAATAACATGAGCCTGACCACCCCAAAGCCCTGGAGTGGTGGCCAAGGACACCAGGCTTCTTGTTTTCCAAGCACTTCTCTGCAGATGCCTAAAGGAACCAAAAGAGCTGCCTCTCTGCCTCTAAGAACTAACATATTCATTTCAGATTGGATTGTCTAGTTGCATTTCAGCTCCTCCTCAGAGTCTTTCGTTCAGAACGAGCTTACATTACTCTGGGCCTCTGATGCTCTAATCCTCGCTGGGAGGTCCTGAACCAGCATCTAACCTCCCTCCCTCTGTCAGCAAAGCCCCCCTCTCCCTAGGGAGAGAAAAACTCATTAATGACCACTAACAGGGGGCTTTGAAGTCGAGCCTGCTGAGAGCCAGCAGCACCTATAGGGACTGAGTAGTCACCCTGTTTCTCTTTTTCTCCCTGTGCTCAGGGAATAGATCAGTCATTTGGCAAGATGTTAATGAGCTAGACAGCCCTCCGAGAGACAGAGGTACCAGTCCCAGAGGTTGACAGTGGGGCTAGAAAGGTGACAGGGTGTCTGGTCCTCCAGTTTGAAATGCAAGACACCATCATGTGCAATGCAAACTGTTTTGTCTTTAAAGTTTCTCTTTCTCGTTCCAAGTGGGACAGCTCTCAGACGTCTCTAAGACGTTGCCTGCCTCGAAGGGTTTGGCATTTACCCATAGCTGTCCATCATTCCACTAGCTCCCCATCGTCTCACCCAGAAGTCACCACTACTTACCTGCCACCCATTCTGAACCCAGGAGGACTGTCACATCAGAAATGTCATATTCTATGCTGCGTTTCATCAGAGTTTGACCTTGAAAATGTGACAGCAAAGCGCAGCTGGCGTGGGAGAGAACCCATTTGTTATTGCCTAACTGTGCAATCAGAGAAACCTGGGGTGGAAGTGGCTCATCACAGCATCTGTCATCACTCTGCCCTCATGGAGAACCACATCTGCTGCTCAAATATTAGGTGGCCCACCCTTCCCAAAAGCTCTGACAAAGACACAATTACTTTAGTAAAGCGTCCCAAGGTCTTGCAAGAAAGTTCTCCCTTAAGTCAAAAAAACCTAAAAATTTTCCGTGTCTACCCTAAATCCCTTCCTGCACAATTTCAGCCAAATCCTCTTTGTCTCAATATCAGTCTCTCTCCTAGTCTTGTCTTTGGCAAAATAATACCAATTCCTCATTTTTCTTAATTAGTGAATTAATGCATGGAAAGTCCTAGGTGCCTGGCCTGGCACATAGTTGAAAAAGTAATGCACAATTACTATTATTAGCTTTTCTTCTCACTGCCACTTTGAAGTCAACAGACATAGTTCTGTTTTATTTTACCTTGTGCATTGCAAAGATGGGGAAACTGAGACACAGAGAAGAAAAAACAGTCTCTCCCAGTCACCCAGACTATGTAATATTGCACCCTGAACCCCTGCTCTAATTGTCCAAGGGCCTGGAGCAGCCGCCTCTGGCTGAGGATGGGAGGAGTATCTCTCCCACTCAGATCACCAGCAGGGAAGACAGTTGCCCAAGCTCAGCCCCTCTCCTAGGGCGAATGACAGAAAGGTCCCTGCACAGGCAGGCAGGGGCCAGGGGTGGGGGGTGCAGGCGGGATTGAGGCAGCCCTCTGTGGAAGGAGCCGACAGAAGGGCGGGAACTAAAGGGTGTGCGAGGAAAGGCCTGACCTCGCCCGCCTCTTCCTTCTCCCACTAGCATCTCCCTCAGACTTTCCAGCCTGGCAACGGCAAGGGAACACAACTCGGACTGTATTCAGTAGCTTTGGGATCCAGTGGAGCGGGGCGGGTTCAGCGGGAGGAATTTGGAAAGACTTATGTCAGTTTTTAATCTGGGCTGGAAAGTGTCCTCAGAGTCTCCAAGCAGAAGAGCCCTGTGCTGTGAATGAGCTTGGAGAAGAAACACAGGGGGGCGCACAGTACCCAACACATGGGTAGAATCTACATACACTGTGTGGCCAGCAGCCCCCAAGTACCCCCATATTTGTTATGGGCAGATTTGGGATCCAGGATTTGAACAGATGGTCTGAGGGCTCCAGATTCAATCCTAGGACCTCCAGCGTAGCCCCAAATAGGGTTGGAAATGATACACGGGGCCACTCTACATCTCCCCAGC